TGTTCCAGAGACTCCCTCCCAGGCTCCCCCCTCTCTTCCCACTCACAGCTCTTGATCTGCAGCTGCTGGGTGTAGGCAGGAGCCAGGAAGGCCTCCCGGAAGAACCACAGCACGTTTACCAGCCACAGGAAGGGCAGCAGCGCGAAGCCCCCTGGGGGCACAGGGCTGGGGGTCAGACCCAAGGCACTGCCCAGGGGAGCTCGCAGCACTGGGTGCCCCCCACCCCCTGCCCAAACAGCCAGGGGCAGCTCCACCCCAGAGCTGGCTGCATTTAGGTACAGGGGGATCCCCTCTAGGCAGCATTATATGCAGCCAGTGGCACCCCAGAGCTGGCTGCACCTAGGGATGGGGGAGCCCTCTCTAGGCAGTGTTATATGCAGCCATTCCACCCCAGAGCTGGCTGCACCTAGGGATGAGATGAGTCCCTGCTAGGCAGTGTTATATGCTGCCAGTCCACCCCAGAGCTGGCTGTATCCAGGTTCTGGGGAGGCCCTCTCTAGGCAGTGTTATCTGCAGCCATTCCATCCCAGAGCTGGTAGCATCTCGGGATCAAGTGAGCCCTTTCTAGGCAGTGTTATAACTGCAGCCAGCTCTGGGGTGGAACAGCTGCATATGGACCAGGGGAGCCCTCTCTAGGCTGTGTTCTACGCAGCCATTCAATGGCTGCCCCACCCCAGAGCTGTCCACACCCCCACCCCGCGCTCACCCAAGTAGTACTTCCGGCACAGATTCAGCTTCTCCTCATTGGGCACCCGCTCCAGGTTCATCTTGGCACTGCCACAGGGGCAACCGCACCTGCAAGGGAACAGGGGTCTAAGAACCCCCCAGAAAGAGACCCCATGCCCAAAGGGACCCACAGCCTGTATTCTGCCCCCAGGCACTAGAAGAGCCCTTGAAATGGGGTGTTATATGCTGCCGTCCCCCAGCTGTCACACCCCTGAGCTGGCTGCATCTGAGCACTAAAAGCCCTTGCTATGGGGTTGTTATATGCTCCCATCCCCCAGCTGCTCACCCCAGAGCTGGCTGCATCTCAGCCCCATGGCAATCACATTGGGTGTTATATGCAGTTGTTCTCTTCTCCACCCCAGAGCTGGCTGCATCTCAGCCCTCCAGGCAGCTGTTCTATGCAGAACATGCCCAGAACTGGCTACCCCACTCACACCTCCCAACTATACTGGTCTCAGCTAACCCCCTTTACTGGTCTCAGTCACCCCACCACTACTGGTCCACTGTTCCCAGCTATAGTGGACCCATTCCCCACCAGTCCCATTTTCCCAGCTATATTACTCCCAGGCCCCGCACTGGTCACATTCTCCGTTATAGTAGTCTCCCAGGGTGCCAAGGGAGATCACTGCCCCCTATTGCCCCCCTGCACAGGAGGTGCCCCCCAACCAACCCCCCTCATTCTCGTTGGAGCCCGCAGCGCCCACCCGGACAGTAACTCCCCACATTGAACCCACTCACCAGACTTCTTCCTGTTCTAGTCCGCGCACAGCGCATACACCAAGCTTCACCCACCGCAGGGACCGCCGGGATTTGTAGTCCCTGGAATGTTATTCAGGGCCCGCGCTGGGCATGCCGGGCGTCGGAGTCCTCCCCATGCTCGTTCCTAGAGCGGCGACCATCTTGCCGCGAGGGATGCCGGGAGCTGTAGTGCACCCTACCCGTTCCCCAGCATGGAGGATTGGGTAGCGGCCATTTTGCGGCAAAGCGTGCCGGGAGCTGCAGTCCACAATCCCATCCCATGCTGAGAGGGAGGGAGGGGGAAAACTTTGGCGGCCATTTTGCCGCCGAGCGTGCTGGGAATTGAAGTCCCCAGCCCCGTTCACTGCCGGGGGGCGGGGGGGGCGTTGACGGCCACTTCTTGGCAGAGCATGCTGGGAATTGAAGTCCCTAGTCCCATCCATGGCCTAGCGGGCCCTTGGCGGCCATTTTGCCATGGAGCATGCCGGGAGCTGTAGTTCACCCTGCCCCTCCTCTGGCTTGAGGGAATTTGGCGGCTGGCCCGTCGAGAAGCGTACCGGGAGTGGGCCCGGGGGTAGGGGGCAGGGCTTCCCCGTGCTCCCAGCGTGCCCCGCGGCCGGGCCGGGATGGCGGACGCCTGGGTGCTCTGTCTCGTTTGGGGAGGGGGGACTTGGACGCCTGGTTGCCCCTCCCCTGCGCGGCACTACTGGGGGAAGCTCGCAGCTCCCCCCTCCTTCCTTCCCCCAATAGAAGCCGGCCTGACCTCCCCCCCATCCTCCAGGTGCAGCCAGCTCTGGGGGAGTGTAACGACCCGGCCCGGACAGCCCCTGGCCCGTCCGGGGGCCCTGTGTGCTCACGGGGACCCCCTTGACCCTATCCGGTCTCAGCGACCCCCATGGCAGACAGTCCCTGGTACTGCTAGGGCGTCCTGTAAGGCCTTGGGGACCCCCTT